ATGATGTGAATCGAACCTAGTGGAATGTCGAACTGACGACAAATCTCTGCCAGTGGAGCTTGCTTTTTGTCAACAGCCTGGATTATTTCGTATTTTTGTCTGTGTTGCTACGTGTAGGTTTCGGGCTAGATTGGGGTCTGCAGCACACCGCAGCCCTCTCTCGCTTCACACGCTGCGTGTGCTTGCAATGTCTCTCTCTCTCTCTCTCTCTCCCCCTCTCCCTCTGTCTTACTTTTTACACATTGTTAACGAGCCTTTGTCCCTGTTATAACCGGTTGAGCTCTGATGATGCCCTGTTATTGCCGATAACTTTTAATAGAGACAAAGAGTGGGAAAAAACGGGGATTTAAAAAATCCCTGTTATTACCGGATCCCTGTTATTACCGGGCCTGTGATATATGGTTTCCACTGTACTAATTTTATTGCTTTCCCCATATAATTGCCAGAAATCGGAAGCAAAATATCTAAACTGAAGTAATCGATGGGTTAACGAAAACATAAACATGTTAGGAGTAGGAGAAACATGGACTGGCCTTCGTTTAGATCTAGGTCATTTCGCTTGAGGGGAAGCAGTTGGACTTTGCGAGTATAATAATAATAGATAGCATCTGTATAGCACAAATCCCCGCTCAACAGCAAGCTCTATGCGCTTCACAATCTATACCATTACCCCAGCAGACCTGAGAGCATTCTGAAACAACCTCAACTTCCTAGGAAGCATACAGTGCAAGCAGCCATTTATAGGCGCTAAAACCCTAACATACTGACAAGATCTTTGGCTGTCTACGAGTTTATACTCATCCACAATCCCGTAGATAAAAAAGAAATATTAATTTCTTATTCCCGTCTTGCGTCCATTGACCTCTTGACTATTTATAGCCTGATAACGACAAATGTCACAGTATCAGAGCTACTCACATGTTGGTGGACTTGCACGCCAGACACGAACATGCTGAACTGCCTCCTCCTGACAAAAAGTTTCTGCTCTGGTGGACATGGAGCAACCTTCTTTATAATTCAAAATTACACTCTACTATTCCTTGAACAGCTCTTGTCTGCAACTTGTTTATTTTATCGTTAGAACATTAGGTCTAAAAATTACCTTGGACGCAGAAAAAACTCTTGGTTACACATGAGCAGAACAGTGTTTTGGGATTAATTATTAAGTTGATACAAATATATAGAAGTTTTACAGTCATTATATTTCTGTTCTTTATTGATCATTTCAAAGCAAAATAAACATAAGTAATGGCTTCTGTGCAGTGGCATTTATATAATGTACACGTATATATATTAAAATTATTATGGAAGAGGATGATTCAGCTAGAATTATGGGTTAGCCGACAAACATCAAGTACACAGAATCTTGCTCTACATGTTGGACACGGTGACTTGCTGGACAACCAGGTCTCCGGTCGCTGCTGGTCCTGGCGACTGGCGAACCACTTGCCCACACACTCCAGACACCACATGGGACGACAGAAGCACTGGACGCATGCCTCTGAATCTGGAGCCTGCTCTCCGGCGGTATCCTCACACCGTTTTTGCAGCTTTATATCGGAGTCTTTCTGCATGCAGCCAATGCACTGCTCAATTTCCTGAAAGTTAAACAAATGGGCATTAAATGATTAATGATAATGGTACAGTATTTCATGGTGTCCCATACAAAAAACTATTTACTATTTGTTGTACCTGTAATAATAACCCAGAAGGCTTTAGTTTATTAATCAACAATGTATTCCGGTTGCAATAAAGTATATTATTTATTGTGGTGATCAAAGTACGATCGGTTTGCCTTTCATGAAGAAAAATAAAGATTCTTTCGACCATGAAATTGAAATATGAAGTGTTTCACAGATAAATCAACGTGAATGGATTATTTTTCCGCAAAAACGTCTCTTTTATAATGACTCAAATTTGAGGATAGGGGTAAAATCCAAAAGTCACACATCAGCACGCCGAGTGATATCCATGTGCATTCAGCACATCAGCGTATCTCCTGCTCATGCAATAAACAAGTCTTCTTGCAAAATGTTTCAGGGACCAGGATTTACCATGAGCAACACAATCCTATCCCACAGGTGCTCAATAGGGTAAAAATCTGGTGAAATGGCAGGTTTAAGCGACATTCTGGATATTAAAGAATTTAATTCTGAGTGGAATGCACGATGTGCAGGTGCATTGTCCTGTTAGAATGTTATGGGCTTACTTAATCAACTTAATGTTTTGAAAAAATGGCAGATAAAGCTCATGTGGTCTCCTGTACACTTTTGCACTCCCATCGCAGGGTTCAACTTGGAACTGTGAATCGTTCGAAAATGTGACGGTGTCCTTGTGACCAGTTCATCATAGTCTGATGGTGTTTTGGCTGTAAACACAGTCTGCATGTAGGCATCCTAGCTTCAGTCTTAAATTCCTGTAGTCTATGACGAACAGTATGCCAGCTGACGAGTAAAAGTCCAGGAAATTGTCTTGCGGATTGAGCGGTTGTTCTGAAACAATTTCTCAAGTGCATTATCCTAATATACCTGTCTTAAAATGGCATTGTTACCCTTAAATTTTATATATGGCTGGTTCTGCTTTCGCTTTGAATATCTGTCCCTGTGGTTTTATGCACCCTGCATAATTTAGCAAAATTTGATCATTTTTTGCATAATTCCATTATTTCCTTACCCTTCTCTGTTAAAATTAACAGAATTTCATAATTTCACATTTTTGGGCTCAGTTTGCATAATTTCAGAATTTTTCTTGCATAAAACGACTGTCCTAAACCAGCAGTGTGCTGAGCAAGCCGATGGCTTGATTTTTCTGATTTTGAGTTAAAGGAACTGTCTCTTTTGGGTCACAATGAACAAATGTGGATGCGGTTTTAAGTAAACACAAGCCTAAACTTCATAAAAGTCAAAGAATAGAACAAAAATCAGCCTCGTAGTCGAGGAAAAAATCCTAATTTTATGTTTTTTCACGTTGGTGCTGTGAACACTAATAGTTGAAGCATCAAAATGTTATTTTTATCATTTTTATGTACTAACTACACGAAAGAAAAAGCGTAAAGACTCAGAAGTTTAGATTTTATACACAGTCGACAAGTGGTACCTTTCTTTTGATCACCAGTATATCGGTAGACCTACAGTCTGTCTAGCATGCACATAGCGAAGTCGATAGGACATGGAAATCTGCTTGTTATCTGCAAATTTCACTATATAAATGTGTTTTAAATACAAAGATGTACGAAAAAAATTCAGGACCAGAATATGTCCTTTATATAGTACTACTCTATGTGTGTGCCAGGCTGTATGTATACAGCTGTTATTTCTTCTATGACAAGCAGGTACAACAATTTAAAATTAAAAGAGTGGAATGAGATGAGTGGAAAGTCATTCAAGGCGCCTCAACTGTTAAAAAGACTACAGGATTAAATTAATGAAGATCATGATGATGAATCTTTCTTCGCATCATCTGGACATTTTTATACTGGACTAGCATAAGGTAGATGTACATGGCATTGAGGATAAACTTGCAACTTTGGAAGTGTTGACAAGTGTAAGATGTGGTCAGGGTCAGGCTTGAGGACTTCGTTAAATAATTTAAGAGAGTTTCACTGTACAGTCTGTCCTCAGAGAAAGTTGCATTTGAAAATAGCAAAAGTTGCAAGAAAAATCAACAAAAGTTGCAATAAAAGTTGCAAGACGTGTATAGCTAAAATGTCATAGAATTATTGGAATACATTGTTTGTATGCCCATTGCAATCAAAGTAACCTACGTGAGTTTTGTTAGATCAAAATCAAAAGTTAAATGTGAATGTCTACCGTACCAAAAAAAAACAAAAACAAAAACAAAAAAAACCTAACTGCACGAAGGTTGCATAGTTTACTTAAACTTAAACTCTCGCTGACGTTGGGCAGGTGTGACCAGTGTGGTCTTGGGGCTGTTCAGATATAATCGTACATCTTTTGGGGGAT